ATGCGTACAGAGAAATCAGAAACCAGCATTAGAAACACACCATACTCTTCTTTCTTCAATTAGTAGAGCTTTTCCCGACCTCTTACCCTAAACTGACATTTTTAAAAATTTTCCTTTATTTTAACTTAACCGAATTAACAACACCGTCACTCAAACAGCAAACCACCTCACACTAATAAATTAAAACAAAGAACGAAAACATGTCTTTTAACACTAATTTCAACTTCAGGTTTCTAAGACACATATGAATGTGGTCAATCTGGTCGACTTCTGCCAGACATCTCATTTGAATTTTCATTTTGTATTCAAAGCACATTGAACACCTGCCACAAAGTAGTCTGCTTACAAGACTAATTGCTGCCATTATAAATTATTCCGAAGCACGTTTGCTTCCGGAATTTCTTGTTTTACTGAAAAGAGGTCCGCTTCTTGCATGTAGTACTAACGACAATCACATTAATCAGATGTGAGGAAATCTGCACCTACATTTTTTGCTGTCTCACGAATTAATACTGGAGTTTGAGATTAAATCGAGATACAAAATCAGTAACTTTATACGCTTTATAAATTTGAAGCGATTACCCAAAGTATGAGAACTAGAACCACTTGACTTGGCGAAATATATAAAGCATTTTTTTTAATCAAAATAATTATTTATTTTATGATAAGAATTTATTAATGTGCCTCAGAAAATTTCTCGATGGTGCTGATAACTAATTATTGCGTTGTATATAGGTACTTAGGAGGCAGCGTTATTGACATAATAAGTGAGACAACGAGATAAAACACAATTCTCTGATAAACAAATGGAAAAATCACCATACTATCATTATACTGTTTCTGTTTAAATAGTGAAAGTTAATTTATTGGAGTCATGAATACAGATGATTGTTTTGCATTTTTTACTAAAATTTAAGGTGATAAGCGATAATAAGCAAAAAAAAAAGAAATTAAATATTAAAATTGGAACAGCTCATACTTCTTGATGAACCTAGTCAAATAATAAAAAATAGAAGACGTGGTCCAATAGAATGGCCACCTAGTTCTCCGGATCTGACACCCCTTGATTTTTTTATGGGGACATTTAAAAAGTCGCGTTTACATGAACAGACTCGAGGATTTAGACGACCTGAAAGCACGAATTCGTCATGAAGTCACTCGTATAAGTCCTCAGAGTATTGAAAATTCTGGAAGGCGTGAACCAATAAAATGGCCACCTAGGTCTCCGGATCTGACACCCCTTGATTTTTTTTGAGCACATTTAAAAGGTCGTGTTTACATGAAGAGACCCGATAATTTCGAATTGAATTTTGAAATAACTCGTATAAATCCCCAGAGTAGTGAAAATTCCGTAGGTCTACCATCGTCTGGGTTTGCGTCAGATAGTGAATGAGGAACAGTTTGAACAATTTATTTTGTTTATTAATTTTCTCAATTTTTTGTTACACAACCTCATCAAACTACATTTACATATGTAGAAAAATAAGCTTTATCAAATAATGCAGACATTAAAAAAATTATTGATGAGGTTATTACTTTTACAAATTTAACGTAAAAATTTTTGACATATTTATGTCAAAAGATGAAGAATAAAATAAAGTGCTTGACATGTTTTTGCGATTTTTATGAATTTTGTGCATTACTTTATCATAACCCTGTAATCATTCTCTTGTTGAAAAATGTAATAAAAAATACGTGCCATATTAAATCCTTGTGGGCGACACTACATTTAAAAAAAATACAAAGACATAATAAAAATACAATAAAGTTTAAAAAAAATAATAGTAAATAATATATTAAACAATACGAGAAAAAGGGTAGATAGACACCTATTAACTTTCTTTATGTGTGAAGACATACTAGAGAAATGCGGAACACCGACAACGAAGAATATTATAGTATTTTTGAACAGATTGAACATCATAAAAATCATCGTTTTGTGAAAAAAAAAACATCAAATAATTGTTACTACATTATTTAGTTCTAACTACAAATGTCAAAATTGCGCAGCTAACCAAATTAAAAAAAAATGGTCCAAAGTTATTTCGACAGAAGCTTCATCGCCTCTGCAGCACAACTGCAAAATTAAAATTTTTATATATACATGACGAACAAAAAATCTCGGATAAGCACACATGAAAATAAAGAGGAATTCGTATCAAGATATTTCATAAAATGCACAGCTCCAAAGTGGTAGGGTGTGATAAATTGATTGTGGTTGTCTCTAAAATTAAATCTGTCAAATTTTTTCCACTGGGATTACCTTATATCTCTAGTTTATATAGCACTCATTGAAAATATTGACGAATCAAGAGGTCGTAATCTGGCTTGTACAACAATTCAGAACATCCCCGAAAATTTTGAACGGAATTATTATAAATTTATTTCGTTTATTTTATTTCTGAAAACAAAACTTGGCTAATATTTTATTATTATTATTATTATTTATTTACTAAGGTTAATCAGACAATTTTTTTTCAAAAAATATAGATAATACACGACACAATAAAAAAAATACTCAGTAAGGATTGTATCCGAACCCACAAGGGACAGAGTACAAGTCGGAGAGAATCAATTACAGTCCCATTCGATAACGAAGTATTTGATGCAAAAGTGAGATATCGGCTACATGAACCACATGGAAAATATTGCACAAAAAAAGTTTGTTAAGCAATTGTGATAAAAATCAAGGCGGATTCATAAACTACGAGCACACTATTTCATCAAATTTAGATGACCATAACTACGCAAAATGATCAGATCCGATAGATTCGGGGATCATCAGTCTAATGAAAATCGACACAGAACGACAGACAGACGGAAACGCGAAGCCTTTATTTTTTCATACTCTGGAGGGCAGTTCGTCTGATTGGCGTACAGTCGGTCACGTGGTACTTTAAAGTCTGTGTTAAAAATTTAATCGTAATCAAATATTTATAACGCAATTTTGTAACGACGTCAACAAACCTTTCAGTTTGACAAAAATATCAAATTGGAAAGGTACAGTATAATTTTGTACCACCAATATTCATTATTTTCTCAAAATTTGAGAAAAATAAGGTAAGCGTTTTTGCTTTAGTCAACAGAATAAATCAGTTCATTGATGAATTTTTTGGAGACGACTTGTATAAATTTAAAAAAATAATAATACCTTGATAAACCGCAAAAGTGAACCCATACTATTTTATCCTTTAGAATTTAGTCAGCAAAATTTTGAAATGACGTCATTTATTGTTTGGAGGGGATAAACGCAAAATAATTTATTATCATTAGTCATGTTTACGACAACCTTAAAATATTTGCATGATGACGATGAATAATGCAAATTTTGCCGTTAAATTATTTAAGTTGAATCAAAAAATGTATTGTACAAAAGAGTTAAGATGGCATTAAAAGCTTAAGGAAACGTGATAAACATTTTTTAAAATGGAGAGGAATTTTATTGTTTATGAATACAATAACAATGCAAATTCATTGTAGTGGTTACTTTTGAAATTCCTTTTTAAGAAAGTGTATCACAAAGTGCCGGCCAGTCAAAATGTCTGCACAAACGTTAAATTGCTAATTATTTTGATTTTTTGGTATACTATCGATTATTATTTTTCAAGCACGTGCCAAATATATTTTTTAAGTATTCTAAACCATTTATCTCTATATATTTTTTTACAGTATATCTAAAACTTACTCAATCAGTTAATAACAATTTAACCCAGAAAATTGTAGACTTTTTACAAATAATAATAGTAATAGATAATAGTTTATATTAAATAACATAAACAAGAAAGTTAGAAAACACCTTAAATGAGACATTCTGTATAGTTTTATAACTGTTCGCAATTGTGGTTCTCATTACAAATCATGACTTTCTTTTCTTTTACACCTAATGGTTAATCATGCAATGCTCATGTGACCTGCCACAATAAGTTTTTATGTAAACAACCTTGTAATGTGTTTAAAAATTAAACCGTTTTAGATGGATACAATGCTGCTAACGTATTTAATTTAAAAAACGAGATTAATTCACCAGTATTAAACACACTCTAGAATAAATAAAAATCGCCATTAATTTTCTAGTAACACGGTAGTAGTAAATTTAAAAGACGTGTTTAATCATTAAAATAATAACAATTAACACAAGTGAAACTTAAAAATTCTATTCTTATTAACAATCTACTTAGTTCTGTTTCAATTTTTGGGTCTTTGTCACATGTCAAATGGACTCTTACTTTCGAGAACCTTATCCCAAACCAATTTAACCTTCCGAACCGCAATAAAGTAAATAAAGGCGAATTGTCGACGACCAAATTAGAAATTGCATTGAGTGGATCGTTCGCCTATTCACGAACATCCAACAATACATTTCGCTAATCCATTAGATTCAAGTCGGTGAACTCTCGAAAAATAACCAATATAAACACAAAAGATAAATAGGTGGAAATATCCTGCGACAGTAATAATTTTGGTAAATATTATTAAAGTTAATAAAAATTACATCAGAGATAAATCATCTCCGAACTACACCTTGCTGATTCATGAATTACTTATTTAATTTACCGATTTTTTATCTCGGACAAATTACCAAACTCGTTCGTCTCATCCATCACAGTCACGTAACATGTAACCATTATTTAGGCTAATTTTACGGGCACAAAAGGGGGAGGAGCATAGACGATGCGTCAGTGTAACAATGACACGGCTTCCACTGTTACACTTTATTCACAATTAAATGATTTAATTATAGAACGGACACAAAAAGATCCTCTACCGCAGAAATTTACGTAATCCACTCCAACGCAACAGATCAATGGGTAATTTCCCTGTTTTTTGTTTTTTGTACAAAACCACTGCGCTCAGTTTACATAAATCCACATGGTAATGCCAGATGCTGGCAACAATTCAACAATAAAAATTTCCTGCGAAAATGACGTTGAAAAGGACAAAAGACATGCAACTGCACCACTGCATTGACGTCCTGATTACCTCAATTATTCTATACATACTTATAAAACGCTTGGTGCCAAGGAAGATAACTAAGGACTACAATTGCAGTCTCTGACCGTGGGTCGTGCCTACAAAACCCGAACGTCCATTTCGACTCCAAATCAGTCAGTACGAAAGAGTAGTGCTGGATCACCGAACTAAAAATTTTCACTTGAAATAAGCGTTGAAATTTTACCAATTACTAACTTTTCGAATTTGTAAGGATATGCAAATTTGGGTACTGCTTTAAGCACCTCTTCATCTTTGTATTTGTCGGGGTACTGTTGGATAATCCAGGCTTCCTTATCAGCCGTGGGGGGCACCACTTCGCAAAAACACTCAAAGAAGTGTTTCACGTTCTCGCTGAAACGGGGCGTAGGGTAACATCGTCGGGGGTGGTGTTCGGAGCCACTTACCGTATCCTCGAACCCATAGTGGCGCGATATGGGGGCACTCTTAGTTATCCATGATTTATGAGAGAACACGGAAATTTTTTCAATTTGGTGGCATCTTTGGGAAAATTTAACACATATTGTAGAAATATACACGCACTACACACCACTATAGACACAAAATTACGCGGACACCTACAGACTGACAATCTCTGACATTCACGACTCGGAAGTAAACTGAGCTGCGAATATAAACCGAAATGCTAGACAAAGATGACAGGTTAGCAGAGATGCCAACCTTTGAAATAACAGCTGACAGTTAAAGCTCCCTAATTAAGCGAATAACGAGTGGCGTAGAGGGAACCACAGTGCAACAAGCAAATTTTCACCGGTGTGACATAGGCGCCGACTCAAGGAGTTTCTTGGAGCCCAAGTCTTCCCACCAAAAAACAATAAAAATATTTTTGTGGCACCAACAATGGCAACCACTACTCTAATGGTGCTAAAAAATATAAAAATATAGTTGGGGACATTTCTTTATAATAAAAAACCAAATTAGTGCTCTAACACAGCATGTTTAAAGATTTTGTTATAAAATTGGGATTTTGATCGCAAATTCAGTAGCTGTCATCTTCTTATTGGATTTTAGGCACGCTCAGTAATTCAGAATTGCCAACTCAAAACTTTGCTTCAATCATTAATAGTCACCTGATAATAGGATTCATATCAAAACTTCAACCAAATTCGTTGATTAATTCCAAAAATATATTGTAAATTTTCAGTCGGCAATTTTTTTTAGGCCATGTAGTTATAGAAGTAAAATTATAACATGATGTTTCTTAGTAACTTCTACACTTTCAATATTTCTCTGTTTCTTTTTTAAATAACGTTTCATTTGACCGAAAAAAACAATTGATCCATTATTTAAACAGAACTTTCCGTTGTCCTGAAGTATAATCAAACAAATACAGTTTCGCAGATAAATTTTAATCCGGATCTCTCAACTCCATTTTCCTATTTATAAAATTTAATTTTGAGGAGTAAATGCAGATCGTATGGGTTCTTAAACTACAGGTAATAAGACATGATAGTTTTCCCTAATACACTTTTGTGGTGAAGTCATCAACTTTTTATTTTTTATTTGGATAGGTCAGTGTAATACTAATAACAAGAGTACTGTATTTCCGAAATTTTGGAAGATGATGTCATCAACTTTCGGTAGGGGTAAGCAGATAACTTTAATTAGAGATTCCCCACGCTTCAGAAATCGGTTTTGTAAATTAAATTCTAAAATGTTAAATAATTTTGACTTTTTTTTAAACCTAGATATATAAGGTAAAAAAATTGGTCGAAAGTTGTTTCGACAGAACTTTCCTCGCTCCTGAATGGAATGGTAAATCACAAGTACAGACTCATCATATTTTGTACATTTTTGGTAGGATTTACTCAGCAAAATTTTTAGATGACGTCATCAATTTTTTGGGGATGATACACAGATACATTTTGATTAAAAAGTTACCATGCTTACAATAACGTCTGCAAGATTTCAAAGTATTCAGTTTTGCAATCCTTGATCTAATGAAGAAAATAAATTGACTCATTCATTAATTTTTTTTAATCACTCTGTATAAGAAAATCTACAAAATTACAAGTATAGACTGATGATATTTGCACATTTAAGATAGGATTTATTCAGCAATATTTTGAGGTGACGTCATCAATTTTTTTTTTTTAGGGGGGATGAGCAAATACATTTTGATCAAAAATTTGCCATGCTTGTGATAACTTTAAAACATCTCCAAGATTTCAAAGCATTTGGTTTTGTAGTTTCTGATTTAATCAATAAAATACATTGACGCATTCATTAATTTTTTTGAGTCCCCTGTATATGCAAATCCAAAAAATAGAAATGGAAGGATAAATTACAAGTACAGACTCATCATATTTTGTACATTTTAGATAGAATTTATTCGGCAAACTTTTGAGCTGACGTCATCAATTTTTTGGAGGGAATAAGTAAATATATTGTGATTAAAATTGTATCATGCTTATCATAACTGTAAACTATCTGCAAGATTTCAAAGCATTCGGTTTTGTAGATTCCAATTTTTTTTGTCAAAATATTGTTTCTTAATTTTGATTTTTTCTCCAAAAATCTAGACGTTTCCGGTAAAATCTCAATTCGGAATAATAAACTACATGGGTAAGACTATGTTATTTGATACAATTTAAAACCCAATTACTATGTACAATTTTGAAGTGACGTCATCACATTAGTGGTGGGGTGATTAGACAAATTTTATTTAGCGTTTTACCATCTACATGATATACCTAATATATAAATACGAAATTTGACAACAATCGACCCAGTACTTTCGGAGATTATCTGTCTCATAAAAATCCGGGACGGCAGACAGACGGACAGATAGACGAAACCGGGAGACTTATTTCTTCGTCCTCTAGGGGTCATGATAGGTCGAAAAAATACAAAAGTAGAGAGTCGGCCGACGGACTCGATTACAATACTTCCTTTGCTCGCTCGGGAAATAAAAAGGTGGATACATAAGCTATATGTATAGAAGTATGTTATTCTACAAAATTTAAATGAGATTTACGTTTTCAAATTATTGGTGGGGACGATCTAAAATATAATACACCAAAAATTTCACAACTTTCAGTCCAGTAGTTTTGGCGTTTCTTTGTCGTTAATTTTTGTTTACGACTTTATGTTTGTTTAGCATAATAATCTTGTCTGTTCTCGAAAAATAAATAATGCTGTAACTATATATACAGTTACCGGCAAAAAATTTCAGACGTCAATGTCATTCAGTCGTCAGATAGTGTAAAGCAACCTTTAGATGTTTCTAACCTTAATATTTGACAGTCATTTTTAACTTTTACATTTGACACTTACATGAATGTAGCTGTAGCGTAAGCTGGAATTTTGAAAGTTTGACATTCCAGCTGTCCGAAATAATGACAATAAAGCATAGAGTACATTAACATTTTTGACATGACAGAAAAGTGATGTTTGAAATTTTTTGTCGGAAACTGCATTACACCTTAAAATTTATTCATTACAATGTATTAAGTACCTACCAAATAAAGGGTTTGTTAAAATTTTTAATGTAACGCCAGAGAATATTTAGTTCGATAATTTCAAAATACCCGATACTTTAATACAATTATAAAAATAATCGTATATGTAATACAGCCTGTTATTGAAAGGTACGCACAAAATAAAATCGGCAATTGGTCTCGCAGTATACATAGGTGCTAAAAGTAAAAAAAAGTTCAAGTAAAAGTGTCGTCTCTTATTTTTTTATTATTGTTATCGTTGCTAGGATTTACTAAAATAAATAAATTTTACTTATTTATCCTTCAGTAGCGTCTAAAAACGTTGGACAAGGGTTAATTTTCCCATTATAATTTCGATAACACAAAATAAGTTTTTCAGATTTCTTAGACTTCGCGAAGAACTGTCAATTTTGTTGTACGTACCCTTCAATAACACCCTGTATACAAACAACGTGGCCATAAATAATTCTAGTAGATTGGTTCTGGAATATCTATTGTTAATTAGTTATTATTACCACAGTGAAACACATTTCTTAACATTTCAAAGCCGCTTTGACACCATAGATATTGATAAATTTAATTTCATATAGTGTTTAAATTTTATAAGGAGTTAATGCAAAGTTTAATAAGCAATATGCACTGTTTTATAAACACAAAACAAATAGAGTTTTTGCCATTTCTGTTGAAACACCATCGTAAATTTAGCAACGTTCATATTCAGACAATTTTCTAATTAAAAGCGATTCTCAATGAACCGAAAGCTGTTACTAATTACTAAATTTTAACCAAAATTAGCAGGTGGTGTTTCAATAAAAATGGCAAGGGTATTAATTTGTTCTATTATTTTAGTTTAACCCCAACCCCACAAAAAAGTTTGCAGTCGACGCCCATGTGCAGTGAATGTTTTGTGGGTGGTGTGATAACAGGCGGTAACGATAATTTATAAATTCAAAATCCACATGAATACAAACTAGAATATATTTGGAAACAGAAATAGAGAATTAAACAAACAAAGCTTAAAAGTTTAATATCTTCTTAAATATTCTTTTGATTGATTTTTTTGACAGATCGCGTTTTTTGACAACCCAAATGCAAACATGGGGGCGTGGCAATCGTGACATTCAAAACATAACCCTAAACTTTCGCCACAAAACCTCGAAAATGATACTCAGACGAAAAATACTACCACGAAACGTCTCTGACGCTTTAGTAACTCTGTTCACGTTGGTGATCATCCCCATTGTGTACTACTTCGAGCTGTTCGTGGTGCTACCTCACTACTACTCCCAGTGGAGCGCCGGGTACACGTTCCACTTTGTAACTGGAACCTTTATCCTGTTCAATGTCTGCTCAAATTACGTTGCAATCGTCGTCTGTGATACAAGCATTTATGGAAGGCTGCTACCTACAATTTTGGGGCCAAATTCAAGATTTTGTGCAGTTTGCGAGTGCATTGCGCCGCCCAGGTCATGGCACTGCCCCACGTGTAACGTATGTATTTTGAAGAGGGACCATCATTGTATGTTTACGAGCTGCTGTGTGGGACACCACAATCTTCGATACTTCATAAGTTTTGTGTTTTACATATTCATATCGACTGTGTATGCTTCATACTATAACTTGTTTTTTGCGTTTGAATTTGCTGAATTTGGTTCTTGGGAATCAATTATTAAACTAATATTTCCGTTAGCGTCTTTGTTTGTGAGTTATTCGCGACACCAAATGTACTTGTTTATAGTTTTAATTGTATTGATTGGAGGAGTGTTTACTGGTGTTTTGTTGTATTATCATTGTGATTTAATTTTGAGGGGGGTTGTGACTCATGACAGGCAACAGAAGTTGAGTCCTTATGATTATGGACGAAAGAATAATATTATTGAAGCTTTAGGGGAGAGATGGTATCTTGTGTGGGTGTCGCCATTCCTTGAAAGTAAATTGCCACGTGATGGAGTTAATTGGGATGTAAAACAATCACTTAAAGCTAAGTAGTACTTAGTAGAAACCTATAACGTATTGATTGTGTGTCCTACTAATAATGTGATAATTAAAGGTATTGCCAAATAAGGGTCCTTGTGCCGTCTAATAATTGACCAAAAGTAAGTAATTTTCAAAATGTCAATGTACACCCTCCCAGTTATAGTAAATTACGTGTAAATACATAGATGTTGTGATCAGGAATTAAACAATCCATAAAAAAGATGTATTTTATTATTATTAGTAAAAAAATCTACAAGCAGTGGCTAGCACCAATTTATTATTAGCACAAGAATCACTGTCAACTTGGTGACAAAATGTACCACTCTAGCTTAATTATTATTAAAAAAATCTTTATGAATGGCACTTACTGGTACAAATTGTTATATGAAAACATATCTATGTATAACATGCAGAAGGTAACCGTTACGTTTTATACTTTCACATGAAAATCACATTTGTTTCAATGACTGTTAATAAAATGTGTTCTTTTGTAAATCTCGATTTTTCTTTTTTAAAAAACTGCTTCTTCCTGTCCATTGTTCCTATTTGACGCAGATCTCATTTGTAAGATTTGAATTAAGTTTGCCTTTTCCCTCTCGAGTGCAGATATCCGTTCGCTCTTTTTGCTTACTTCCTGTAATACAAAGTAATGTAATTGTCCTTTTTCCTTTGTGAGAAAGACGAGTTAACTATACCTCCGTCAAAAGTCTGTTCTGTTGTTTGACTCGATCGGTCAAATCCTGGGTCTGGGGGTAATGATGAACGGCTAAATTCATGTGCAGGGGAAGCCCTCCGCGTTCCCAGCTGTCGGTGAGGGCGGCTAGATGGCGGTTCACTTCGTAAACTCGAGCCCTCTGAAGCTCCAACCTTTCTTGCTGGGCTTCTGACCAAGGTTCCTGGAACGTAGGTTTTTGTGAAAAACTCTAAATAATTTAATTTCTAGTCAAGCCTCTGGGTATTAATTTTTTGTCAGAACCGACTTTGTTTTGTATAAAGGTGTTTGTAATTTTATTTTGGAAATAATAATTCGGATGTTACATAAAAGTTTAATATGAAAAAAAGTTTTAAATAAGTTAGACATTTTTCTCTGAGTCGTAATTTGATAACACTATTTTTCTCATATGCGTAACGTTAAAAATACGAATAAATTTTAAACTAAAAAAATGTGGTGGAAATAACCAGACGAATTTTGTTTAGTGTTTTACAAATTACTCAATCTTACGTATTTATACCTATAGTTAAAAACTTTTGTAATCAGTTAAGTATTTTCAGATAAATCCCTATAATAAATGCAGGTAGTGGCTATAAGTCAGAATAACAAAAACTTAACGAAATTTTGACCATTATGTGGTGCGAGAAACCGCACTTGAAAAATAAGAAAATAATTCCAACAACGTAGACAATACATGAGTGGAGCGTTAGGAAACCCTTTGGTTGGCATTTTGTAAGATAGGCCACGCAAATTAAGGCTACATTTAATTTTATTTGTAATTTCACAAAAGGACAATGGCTTGAACTAAACTGAATCGCATTCGACGCCACTGTGCCCTCAACGAGCGAGTGTAATTTGTGTAGGACCAGTTAATTAACGATTCTTTAATCAGACGTGTTGTGAAACGTATTACTTTTGTTTTATTGTTTGTAACTTCACACTTCATGTTAAGATTTTTAACTGTTCATGGTTCTAATACAATTTAACTACAATAATGGAAATATTCATATAAAACACGTAACAAGAAATTTATTAATTTATAATTTATTGGATATTCACACTTCATAGCTCTTTACTCAAGATTTAACATAGTTCATTTATGGCATTTAAATTTGTCTTAAAGACTGATCCATTTTCAAAAAAAGAATTTTAAAATTGTAATTTGTTAAATTAGTATGTATCATCGTGGACTCGACGATGTAACCTGTGAACACATTTTTAATATGATCAATAATTTGAATTAACGCATAATTTAACATAATGTAAATTGTTTGTTATGTAAGATATTGTTACAGTCTGGAGTAATGCAGATTTGTTTGCATTGCAGATTCAGTAATTCATTTAATCATCAAAACTCCCCTCCCCGTTTTTTAGTAAACAATTACTAAGTGAACAAGCTGAAGCTCATCAGTCAATTGCAACAATATTAGTAAGGGGGATTTTATTACCAAGCCATCTTTCTAAATTTCGTTCCGAATTGGGGTACTCACTTCCTTGTGGAATGCGCTTGCCTGTCGGCCTGGTAGACCGCGCGGAAGTAGATGAAGCGGTCGGTTATAGTTATACAACATACCTTGCCCATCGAGGGTGCGTATGTCTGAAATCTAAGGAGAGCTCGATCGCCTTGATGAGAGCCATCGATCCAAAACCGCGATACTCCCGATACAGTCTTTGGTTCTCGTTTTTATTTAAATTTACGGCTACACCATTGTAATAAGTTGCGATTTCTTTTTTCTTTGCTTTGACCTCTGGAAAGGTTGTCTGCAGGTGGGAAATAAGTTCCTTTTGGCCTATTTCTATAGCTTTTCGCTTTACACAACTTAGGAAAACATGATTTGGGGCATTTTTCCAACCTTGAGGTTTCACCATTTTGTATTTAAACGCATTTCACCATAAATATTTATCTTTCGCGGTTTTCATAAATTTGTTTTCATGTATCATTTTAGCGGAATGTTTCGATTAACCCAATTAATAACTTTTCAATAAAAAATAGCAAGAAACAAGATGGAGACATCGTTTTTCAAGGTACTTATTCGACTCGAAAAATCAAAATGTTTTCATGTGCCAATAGGATTTCCTAGGGTTCGTTCTGAATGAATTTAAGTGTTGAACATAACACTAGTTCTTCAGAAAATACCATAATAAGTTTATCTAAATAAGTCAGGTCAGTGTCGGATTGAGGACACCGGGAAATTTACAAAGTGGGGCCCTGTGGTATTGTATACAGATGTTGTATGGATATTATTATTTTCAGTTTTGAAATAACTAAAAACAAAGCTAGTAAAAAATTGTGGAAGGTAGTTTTAACAGAAGTTCCCTCGCCCTTAAAGTATAGCCCGACAAATTCCGCTTTTTCAAAAACTATAAAATTAAATTCTGAGTTTTGTTTTGTGGTAACTATTAAATATGAAATATATTTAAAGCAAATAACTAACGGGAAAAATGTACACATTCTCAATTTCTCAATATATGCTTAAATTTGGTTGATTTTGTGTTTTCAACGCCGAAGAAAGGACTGATTGATTAATTCATACTCAGTTTTTTTCCCAAAAACATTAAAAAATTTGAAAAAATACGACAAAAATGTAAGATGATGGACAAATTTTGATTAACGATTTACCATTTGCTTGTAATTTTAAAACGTCTGCAATATTTCAGTACATTCATTTTTGCAATCTTAAAATTAAATTGTAAAATACAATGTCAAAAAGCTGTTAGTTTTCAGAGCAATCGGGTTTACAATTTCAAAGTTAAATTGTAAAATGTTATTTTTTCCCCAAAAATCTGGATGTCTAGAGTGAAAACTCGCCACGGATTCATGAATCACATGCAGGAGCATGCAATTCTATAAAATGAAGTATATGTAATATCAAAAAAAGGGGGGAAATTAGTAGTAAGTAAAATAGTACATTTCACCCCACATTTTGTTTTTTAATTTATTATAAGGTTCTTTATCATTTTTTTACGAAAAAAGGGCAGTTTTGGCGTTGAAATGTCAATTGTAATTTTCTGGAATCATGGTAAAAATCTTTAGAAATCCATAACTTAAAAAAAAAACTTAAAAATGGGGTGAAATGCATTAAAACAAAACTTCAACGTCAAAATGGCCTATTTGCTTAAAAAAATGATACAGTACCTTAAAATAGATGAAAAACAGGTAAAAAAAAATGCTTAAATAGATGAAAAAAAAAGTCGGTCAAACTGATTTCAGTTTCGAAATTTCATCTAAAACGTCCGATAAGCCAACCCTTAAACCCGAGTCATTCAGATGAGAATTGAATTTGAAATAACAAACAATGCTTTTGGAATCACCAAAATTTATATTTGGTAAATAATGCTAAATATACATGAAAGAACATTTGTTTGGCAAAATTGTAAAATAATGTCATTATTGTTTTAGAGGGGCATAAACGACAAAAAATTGATAACGATTTAGCATTCGGTTTTGTAGTTTCAAAGTTAAATTGCAAGATGTTGCAATTTTGATTTTTTTCTCCAAAAATCTGGATATCTAGAATAAAAATTCAACAGAGGTTCATAAACCACATGTGCAGAAGTATCATTTTATAAAATTTAAATAATATTGTTACGTTGAACGGGTGATTAAAAATCGGCGTGGGTTGAACTCAACAATTTTCTTAGTAAATTCACACAACGATTATTTGCAAAAATAATTCCGGCGCAACTTGTCTGGATTTTCTCGACACTCGCTGAACTCGACTTGATGACTGAATAATAATCGTTCCCGACGGTGGCCTCTATTTAAATTTATACGTTTCTCTCGATGGATCGAGAACGCCGCTTCGGGGTTTTTCTGGGTTGCCCATCGCGACTTCCGCTTCCAGGCTTTTCGTCAGCGAACGCCGCGCCGCCCGGCCGATGATGGGTCACCCATCACCCCCGCACCTACCAGAAGGTTCTCGACGGCCCATAAGCGTCGTACCGGGGCGGCGTATGGGTTTATTTCGTAACAATATTTACTACTATAAATTTTTAGATGATGTCAACAAATTGGTGACAGAGATGATTAACCAAATTTTGACTAGCGTTTTACCATCTACGCGATATTAGTAATACACATATAAAATTTGACAGTTGGTTCACTAGTTTCGAATATTATTTGCCTAATAAAATCCGGACAGACGCAGACACACAGATAGACAGACAGACAGACAGACGGACTGAAACGGGCGACCTATTGATTCGTACTGGGTTTACGCTCTGAAGGTAAAAAGACGCTCTTATTTGATATTTACATACATCGTTTTTATGCGTCTGTTGTATTTTTAGGAATCTTTATTGCATTTGTAATTGTAACATCCTGAATATGTGAAAAATGTAAATAATGGTATAAAAAAAAAAATTGAACTGTTGGGGCCACCGGAAAATTTCTCGGTGCCCTGGCGGCACAATCTGACACTGACTCAGGTATTATATGTACTTTTCAGTCATAAAGTGAACATCTGACTACAGAAATACTCTATAAAGCGCAGACAAAAGTGTCAAAAGAGAATGACACAAGTGAGAGATAATGACGTATAAGTTATGAAGTTAATTTAAATTTTTACAACAATGAATTGCTAAAGTCACGTTTGTATATAGCTTGTAAATCTTGTAATATACGAATCTCCTGAAAGTTTTGACAATAACTGAAATTAATAGCAGTGGTCTATGTGTCTGCCCTTCATCAGATGTTGAAAATGCCTTAGATTGCTACCTAAACTCGTATTTAACAGAATATTATACTGTAATATACAGGTGTCCCAGGTAAAACTACGCAGCCTTATATCTTGAAAACTGATAAGAGATATTGAAGTTCTGTAAACGCCATTGCTTTTAATTTGAAGGGGTAAGTTTAATTCAGTACACTGTATATAGGCTATTGTTTTAGTTTGCAATTACGCAATTATGGTTACCATGATATTAAAACGCTTGGATGTTTATTTAATTTTCAGTCGAAAAATATAAAATTTATGAATATAAAAAAATTTAAACTGTATAAAATACTGAATGGAAAACTTCTTACTAGTTTGCGACTTGTTGCGCTCAACAGAGAATAACGTATTAAAGAGGCACAAATATTATTAATTATACTTTCTTGATCTTCTAAATCACGTAAAATGCGCCAAATTTTGTATGTATCGCCACAAAATTGATTATAAGGACGATAATCTGGGTTGCCGT